TCTTTCTTTTACATTTCTGAAAGCAAGCGTTGAAAGGGGAATATTACATCCCCCAAGTTTTTCCACGTTCAATCGGTGCGACAGGAAAACAACATCACTGTTATGATTAGGTTTATGGTTGTTGTTGCTGCTGTTGCTGTTATTTTCGGGAACTGTATTTGTCACAGAGGGAGAAAGGATGAACAATCGGAATAGGTTTTACCCTTTCTGGAAATAAAACAGGCGGTGTTCGTATGAATCTTGACTTAAAGCTTTCGTGACTGCAGAAAATTCGTATTCTTTGGGTCTTTCGGTGAAGTCACGTGGATAGGTTCAAGTTAATAAAAAATGAAACAAACAAAAACCACGACGTTTCGATCACAACACAAGCGATCGTCATCAGGAGGAAAAAAAGAGGGGGAAAGCTGCTGAGGCAGACTGTTTTTATGATGATTACACGCTTTTATTTAACTCTGTCTGTTGTTGCTGTATCCTCAAATCTTGTAACTCGATTTTAACCCACTTCCCAACGTGGTATCGACTGCAAACATGGTATACTTATGTCATACTGATGACAATACTATATTCTATCATTAGAAAAAACAAATTTTAACCATCTTTTTTTAAATGTTATGTTTCAGCTTGGGCCTAATTGTCCACGCTCAACTGACGTTGCCTGTAAATCACCACGGTCCCCTTACGTTGTGGCAAGCTTCGGGGCCACTTCCTGGAGTCGTGGAGTTCTTCCATTACTAGTACGGTACATTTCATTAAAGCGTGTTTAAAAAAAGTATTTTCAAATATTACTTATAAAGGTTTAAAATGGGTGTAGCCCAAGGGTCATAAACGAAGTGGACCGGGCTAGTGATGTTAATGTGAGAGATTAACATGTTAATGTGAGAGATTAACATGTTAACGTGAGAGATTAACATGTTGATGTGAGAGATTAGCATGTTAACGTGAGAAATTAGCATGTTAATGTGAGAGATTAGCATATTAATGGGAAAGATTAGCATGTCAATGCGAGATATTAGCATGTTAATGTGAGAGATTAACATGTTAACGTGAGAGATTAACATGTTGATGTGAGAGATTAGCATGTTAACGTGAGAAATTAGCATGTTAATGTGAGAGATTAGCATATTAATGGGAAAGATTAGCATGTCAATGCGAGATATTAGCATGTTAATGTGAGAGATCAGCATGTTAATGTGAGAGATTAGCATGTTGATGTGAGATATTAGCATTTTAATGTGAGAGAATAGAATGTTAATGTGAGAGATTAGGATGTTAATGCGAGAGATTAGCATGTTAATGTGAGAGATTAGCATTTAATATGAGAGATTAGAATGTTAATGTGAGAGATTAGCATGTTAATGTGAGAGATTAGCATGTCAATGCGAGAGATTAGAATGTTAATGTGAGAGATTAGCATGTTAATGTGAGATCACAGAGCCGCCTCCACGTCGAGGTCAGTGCACAGAGGTGGCTTTGTCGGTGTGAGAAGTGTAACCTGTTAATATAAAATCGGAGAGCTGAAGCCACGGGGAAAAGAAAAACTAACATCGAAAGGTGGCAGGATGGGAACATCACAGCCAGTTATGACTTAATCTGGTTGATGACGTCCTTCCAATGATTGCTGAGTTTGTACCCGTCCTCTCGGTTGAAGTTGTGTCTGTGTCTGTATATGTGGATGGCTTCATGAACGAATCTTTGTTGATAGCCAGTGGGCTTACAAAGTACCTTCGTCTTAGATAAATAAATTCCGCGTTAATCTCTCACATTAACAAGCTAATTCCTCACATCAACATGCTAATCTCTCACATTAACATGCTAATCTCGCACATTAACATGCTAATCTCTCACATTAATATGCTAATTTCTCGCATTAACATGCTAATCTCTCACATGAACATGCTAGCTTCTCACATTAACATGCTAATCTCTCACATCAACATGCTAGCTTCTCACATTAACATGCTAATCTCTCACATTAACATGCTAACCTCTCACATTAACATGCTAATCTCGCACATTAACATGCTAATCTCTCACATCAACATGCTAACCTCTCACATTAACATGCTAACCTCTCACATTAACATGGCCACCTCCACGCCCTTGCCGTGGAGGCCCCTCTCCAATCTTACAGTTACATGCTAATTTCTTACATTAACATAACTAGCCCCGCCCACTTCGTTTATGACCCTTGGGCTACACCCATTTCAGACCTTTAAAACAGCCTGCCTCTGCAGCTTTCACCCTCTTTTTTTCCTCCTGATGACGATCGCTTGTGTTGTGATCGAAACGTCGTAGTTTTTGACTCTACCGAAAGACCCAAAGAATAGGTGTTAGGATGTTAAAACAGCACTGTTTGCTTTTTGGCATCCTCTGGTCTGACACCGGTGAGACTAAGGCCATAAAGAAGGCTGTCTCTGGTGTAGGCCCATCAATTTCAAAGACAATGCAAGTATTATATGAGAGTTTGTCTGCGTTTCATGTTCACCACAAATACTGTGTGCGGTTAATGCAGCAACTTGATTCCTCGCAAAAAAAGGTCCTCATTTGGTGTTTGAACATCTTAACACACCTGCTGTTTTATTGCCAGCAAGGGTAAAAAAGCTTTTCTTATTTTTAATCCGTTGACATTGGAAACAAAAAAATGGGTCCCATGATATATAGAGAGAAGGGGACGTCTGTATATGGCCACGTTCGGGTGTGAGTACCAGCGGAAATCAAATCATTCTTGAACGGCTGTTCCGCGACTCTTGCATCACAGGGCGTGTCCCTTTACCAATCGCTCATATTTCTTTCCCTTGGACCCAGTTTTTTTGTCTTTATTTGGACCTCAATTCGTTTAATTTTGGGGGGCATTATCATCCCCGTACAGACACACACGACAGCGATGGGCTCCTGTCCACGGAGCGATAACAATACAAAAATAATTAAAACGGTAATTAGAAATAAAAACAATCAACTCGACTTGCCCCCCCACCCCACCCCACCCCCAACGGTACACTCTGTCCTATCATGATGAGCCATGATCTATCCACTGCTCGATGAAGGCCCCCCACAACGAGGCTTCGTAACATTCATACCCATGGTCTCGAGACGCAATGACTCGCCTAGCCCCGGCTACGCATGACGATCGCTGATACGATCGCTCCATCTTCACAGAGGTTTTCCCTCTTGGGTGCGCCGCGGTGGCTAGGAGATGTTAACTACCTCGCCTGGTATACAGGAGGTCGTGGGTTCGATCCCGGCCCTGACGCCTGCTGCTGTATATTTGGAGTTTGCGTGTCTCTCTCTCTCATCATCATCACGGTGGCTAGGAGATGTTAACTACCTCGCCTGGTATACAGGAGGTTGTTGGTTCCGATCCCGACCCTGATGCCTGCTGCATATTTGGAGTTTGCGTGTCTCTCTCTCATCATCACGGTGGCTAGGAGATGTTAACTACCTCGCCTGGTATGCAGGAGGTCGTGGGTTCAATCCCGGCCCTGACGCCTGCTGTATATTTGGAGTGTGCGTCTCCCTCTCTCTCTGTCATCATCACGGTGGCTAGGAGATGTTAACTACCTCGCCTGGTATACATGATGTGGTTGGTTCTATCCCGGCCCTGACGCCTTCTGCTGTATATTTAGAGTGTGCGTGTCTCTCTCTCTCTCTCCGTGGCCACGTGGATTTTTCTCCGGGTTCTCCGGTTTTTCCCTCCACGTTTAGAATCTACATCATAGCCTGTTAGAGTATTTCGCCGCTATAATTGTCCACGCGGTGGCAAGCCACTTCGTTGAGCTGTCATTCGTGGCCAGGTCGCTCCTGAAAAACAAGCTATGTAGCTCAGCGTGCCTTACCAGGTAAAATAAAAAAAATAGTTTAGTTTTTTTAACGTGTCCTAACTGTGACATTCCAATCCGTTGTGCCGCGGATAAGAAGGGTTGCGTACAACGTCACAAAGAAGTCTGAGTGATTTTCTTTTCGCGAATTCACATCGAGGTGGCACTCGACCGAGGCTGTTTATGGCCTTAAGCAAGCGGCGGAAATTCCACATTCTTGTTGCAGGGGCGAGTCTATCCATAGGACAAGCACTGCCGACTTCCTCACAAAACGGTACTCATTTTATCGACCCCCCCCACCCACACGGGTGATGGGCCAAATGACCCCCCCCCCCAAACCAGGATATTAACTCGCAACCTTCCGAGCCGCTCAACTCTGCCGCTGAACCATCTTTAAAAACAAATTTTATAATTAATAAAAAAACCCAGCTCGCTGTCACGCATCATCCTGCATGTGTCTCGGTGAAGACAGCCGGTGGACGTGCAAAGGCGTAAACAAATATTCACAAATAGGCTTTACCCTTTCATGGCAAGAAAGCAGGAGGAGCTGTTAAGATGTTCAAACACCAAACAGATGCCTATTGCCCGAGGCATCAAGTCTGCGTTAACCGCACACAAATTGTGGCAAGACACGCAAACAAAGTGCTCTGATGATAGTTGCATTGTCTTTGGAAATGACTGACCTACACCAGAGTCAGCATTCGTTATGGCCTTGTCTCACTAGTGTTAGACCAGAGAGCGCCGAAAAGCGAACAGTGCAAAGGCAATGCCACGCGTAATCAAAGTATCGATAGCTCGGATTTTAGCGGTTAGATTTACGGGAACCTTCTTGCCAGTGTCAAAATGATGAAAAAAAAATTACGACTAGGCTTTACCCTTCCTGGCACTAAAACAGGAGGCGTTAAGATGTTTAAACACCAAACAGACGCCTATTGGCCGAGGCATCAAGTCCGCGTTACACCGCGCGCAACTTGTGCCAAAAAACGCGCAAACTGAAAACAACAAAAAAAAACAATCCTCCGACAAATCTACGGCGCTGTCGTTGAAACCGATCGGCCCACACCCCGACGGCAGCCTCCACCGTGGCCTCGCCTCGCCGGACGGTTACACCACGTGCCCCCAGGAGCGCGCCAACAACGGGGCGACCAGCGGCGAGGTTCGGTCGGTCGCTTAGGCGTCACTCACTCTGCACCACGGCTTCACCGTCGGCCTCCACGGCCGCGACCCTCTGCGCCTGGGCCATCGTCTTCGCGCGGGTGGCGCCAGGCGCGGTCGCCGCCACGCACATCAGCAGCAGAAGCGGAGCCGCCACCGCCGCCGCCGCGGCCGCCGCCGGGACGTGCATGCTGATCGCTGACGGTCGAAGGTTCGTCCCTGCAGGTCCACGGATGTCGCGCTGCTGTTGCGCGCACGCACGTGCACAAAGAGAGTTAACAGGACAAGCGCTGTTGGCGAGAAGCACCTATGAAGGCCGGCACGGCGCACGAGGGGGTGTGTGGCCATCAACCACCTTTGCCTCCCCAGTGGCGATGTTTGCTACACACCGCGCCAGGTTACTCATTTGAGGCCGAGTCGACCAAGCGGAAGGCCCAGGACCGGTTCAGACAATCGTCACCGGTGTCGACCGTGAGCGGGGAATCGAACTCGGGTCGCCGGGTTCGTAGCGCAGCGTAGCGCTAACCGCTACCACCACCACCGCTCCCCACACGCAAACACACACACACGCGCGAGCACACACGAAGCATGGGGAGAGGATTTGGAATAAAGCTCGTGACAATGGTGGTGGTGGGAGATTATTTCACATTCCAGGTGCCGTGATCCCACAGTCAAATCTGCCACTTGTTGCCGTTGAGCGTGTCCAATGGCCCTCAACCGGGCGGTGGAAATTCCACATTCCTAGGAGGACGGCCGTTTGTGAGGCCGCTCCATGAACATCTTTGAAGTGTTGACGCTCGTTGATTCCTCCTGCCGTGTCGAGGACTCTGTTTGTACCTGGCGCTGATTGGTTTGTCTCGCATGCGCTGTGTTGAACGCTGCAGGTTTCAACAACACACCCACTCATTCACACACCCAATCACTCACCCAAACACCCGCTCACCTACTCACTCACTCACTCACCCACTCAGTCCCTTACCCGCTCACCATTCAACCACCACCACACTGTCGGTCACAAAAATACACTCACCCAATCACTCACTCACCTATTCACCCACCCACTCACTCACGCACCCTCCCACTCACCCACACACACACCCACTCACTCACACACCCACCCACTCACCCACCCACCCACTCACACAGCCACTCACTCACCCACCCACTCACACACTCACCCACTCACCCACTCACACACCCACCCACGCACTCACACACCCACCCACCCACTATACTCACCCACCCACTCACCCACCCACTCACTCACACACCCACCCACCCACTCATACACCTACCCACCAACCCACTCACACACACACACCCACACACTATACTCACCCACCCACTCACTCACCCACTCACTCACCCACCCACTCACTCACACACCCAACCACTCACCCACCCACCCACTATACTCACCCACCCACTCACCCACCCACTCACTCACCTACTCACCCACCCACCCACTCACACACCCACCCACTCATACACCTACCCACCCACCCACTCACACACCCACACACCCACTCACACAGCCACTCACTCACCCGCCCACTCACACACCCACCCACTCACACACCCATCCACTCACCCACCCACCCACTATACTCACCCACCCACTCACTCACCCACTCACTCACCCACCCACTCACTCATACACCCAACCACTCACCCACCCACTATACTCACCCACCCACTCACCCACCCACTCACTCACCTACTCACCCACCCACTCACACACCCACCCACTCATACACCTACCCACCCACCCACTCACACACCCACCCACTTACACACCCACCCACTCACACACCCACTCACCCACCCACCCACTCACACACCTACCCACTCACCCACCCACGCTTGTATTCAACCACCACTACTCCCGCACGTGATGTACAACAGATCAGTGGTTTTAAAATTAACATAAATAAACAAACAAACCATAAGGTATAATTACAACATCTTATATATATGCTGTATCCGTGTGTCTATGACGTGGAATGTCTCAGTTAACCAGTGGAGCAATTAAAACATTCACAGTGACAGCACTGGAGACGCGGCTGCAGCCTGGAATGCAATAACCCCAACGCACGTCACGAAACACGGCTGTGGTGTCCCGCCCCCCCCCCACTTCCACCCCCCCACCACCACCCCACCCCCCCCCACCACCACGAGCAGGCCGGATCATGTTGGCGGCGCCTCAATCGTGCCGGACGCACCACAAAGTCAATCTCGCTTTTGACGGCTCACCCCGAGGCATTTTTAATTCTCGCCAAAGCCACCACCACCACCCCCCCCCCCCCAACGAGTCAATCTTTACTCCGCGTGAGGATGTTCCTCCTTCTCCACTGCTGCCCCCCCCAAAACACACGACCACCGTTGTCTGGAATTCCTCGCCTCTGGCTATTTGCATCCTCAACTCTCCCCTGCAGGACCGCCATCCCCCGGCTTGGTCAAGTCCAGCCCCGTTAACCGCGGAACGTTTGGCCCGATGGTTGGCATGTAGGTTGGGGGCGTTGGTCCAACGTTGACTCAACGTTGGTTTGATCGTTGGCCCGACGTTCACTGAACGTTGGTTCGACGTTGGCCCAACGTTGTCTCAACGTCGACTCGACGTTAGTACAACGGTGTCTCAACGTTGCTTCGACGTTGACCCAACGTTTACTCAACGTTGGTTCGACGTTGGCCTAACGTCCACTGAACGTTGATTCGACGTTGGCCCAACGTTGACTCAACGCTGGCTCGACGTTAGCGCAACGTGGTCTCAACGTTGCTTCAACGTTGACCCAACGTTCCACGTTTAAGTGTGGAGTCTCACAACCTTCCTCCTGTGTGCCTACGGCCTGTATTTTCTATATCGTCCTGAGTGTGTGTGTGTATATACAGTGAGGGAAAAAAGTATTTGATCCCCTGCTCATTTTGTACGTTTGCCCACTGACAAAGAAATGATCAGTCTATAATTTTAATGGTAGGTTTATTTGAACAGTGAGAGACAGAATAACAACAAAAAAATCCAGAAAAACGCATGTCAAAAATGTTATAAATTGATTTGCATTTTAATGAGGGAAATAAGTATTTGACCCCCTCTCAATCAGAAAGATTTCTGGCTCCCAGGTGTCTTTTATACAGGTAACGAGCTGAGACTAGGAGCACATTCTTAAAGGGAGTGCTCCTAATCTCAGCTTGTTACCCTATAAAAGACACCTGTCCACAGAAGCAATCAATCAATCAGATTTCAAACTGTCCACCATGGCCAAGACCAAAGAGCTCTCCAAGGATGTCAGGGACAAGATTGTAGACCTACACAAGGCCGGAATGGGCTACAAGACTATTGCTAAGCAGCTTGGTGAGAAGGTGACAACAGTTGGTGCGATTATTCGCAAATGGAAGAAACACAAAAGAACTGTCAATCTCCCTCGGCCTGGGGCAACATGCAAGATATCACCTTGTGGAGTTGCAATGATCATGAGAACGGTGAGGAATCAGCCCAGAACTACACGGGAAGATCTTGTCAATGATCTCAAGGCAGCTGGGACCATAGTCACCAAGAAAACAATTGGTAACACACTACGCCGTGAAGGACTGAAATCCTGCAGCGCCCGCAGGGTCCCCCTGCTCAAGAAAGCACATATACATGCCCGTCTGAAGTTTGCCAATGAACATCTGAATGATTCAGAGGACAACTGGGTGAAAGTGTTGTGGTCAGATGAGACCAAAATGGAGCTCTTTGGCATCAACTCAACTCGCCGTGTTTGGAGGAGGAGGAATGCTGCCTATGACCCCAAGAACACCATCCCCATCGTCAAACATGGAGGTGGAAACATTATGCTTTGGGGGTGTTTTTTCTGCTAAGGGGACAGGACAACTTCACCGCATCAAAGGGACGATGGACGGGGCCATGTACCGTCAAATCTTGGGTGAGAACCTCCTTCCCTCAGCCAGGGCATTGAAAATGGGTCGTGGATGGGTTTTCCAGCATGACAATGACCCAAAACACACGGCCAAGGCAACAAAGGAGTGGCTCAAGAAGAAGCACATTAAGGTCCTGGAGTAGCCTAGCCAGTCTCCAGACCTTAATCCCATAGAAAATCTGTGGAGGGAGCTGAAGGTTCGAGTTGCCAAACGTCAGCCTCGAAACCTTAATGACTTGGAGAAGATCTGCAAAGAGGAGTGGGACAAAATCCCTCCTGAGATGTGTGCAAACCTGCTGGCCAACTACAAGAAACGTCTGACCTCTGTGATTGCCAACAAGGGTTTTGCCACCAAGTTCTAAGTCATGTTTTGCAGAGGGGTCAAATACTTATTTCCCTCATTAAAATGCAAATCAATTCATAACATTTTTGACATGCGTTTTTCTGGATTTTTTTTGTAGTTATCCTGTCTCTCACTGTTCAAATAAACCTACCATTAAAATTATAGACTGATCATTTCTTTGTCAGCGGGCAAACGTACAAAATCAGCAGGGGATCACATACTCTTTTCCCTCACTGTATATTTGCAGATTCCTCCTGAAAGAAGAAGTAAAAAAAGAAAACAGTCTTGAGACTCAGGCTAATAAAAAGGGGGGGGGGGGGGAGGGGTAATTTATAAATAAATCGACAAACAACGCGATGCGTGCAGAAAATAAAAGACGGCCGATATATAAACACACATTTCCGCATTCCAGGCGAATGGCTGGGGCGCGCTGTCAAAATCCGCCGGAGCGATTTCAGAATGAGAACATTTCGGAATGTTGATTTACACCAACGGGTGGAATCCCATGAGCTATGAGGCTCTTCTTCACAGATGTCCTTAGATGGGGGGGTGGCTTTCACGGGGTAAGAGCGTTGCTGATCACACTCAGGGCAGCTCCCCCCCCCCCCCCCCCGAGTTGGCAACGTACAGAGGTTTGGGGACTGCCTCCGAGATGGCTGCAAAGCACCGGGACACCGAATGCCAGAGAGAGCAGAGAGGGAGAGAGAGAGTGTGCGAGAGAGGACAGTGAAATGTGTCTGTGTGCGTGTTTCTGCTCCAACAAAGGACAAGACTTGAGCCACGAGCATAGTTAGAAAGGTTCACGACCACTTTCTGTCGCTTCAACTCTTCGACGAAGAATAAAAACCGGAACGTCTCAGAGCCATTTCGCTCTGACGGGGTGCGGAGACGGATAACGGAGCATCCATGGAAAACGACGATTGCACTCTTTCGTGATGGATGCATGAATGTGTGTTGAACTTCTGTCGCACCGGACGAAGCCAACCG